CAACCCAAACCATTTTATGATTCTATGATTCTGTGTCTGCAGAGCGTGAGGGGAACCTTCTCCTGGACTTGAGTTTGCTGAAGCGTCAGAGCTGCGCAGAAGGTTTGCCCGCGGACAGAGATGGGATCTCTGGAGCGGCAGTCTGAACCCGAGCACCCCGTGTTTACCAGACGTCAGGTTTCATACAATAAATGTAGTTCTATCTCTGCAGGAACTGGCCGAGAGATAATAACTCGTGTTATCTACTTTCACCCATGATATGGGGTCACCAATCAATTTCCGAAAACACTTCTTTTTTTAGCATTTTTGTGCAGAACAGCTTATTAAGAAAAAAATCCTCAAACTCAAACTTTTGGGAAGGATGAAAATAAGTTGGGGTGGGGTTTGTTTTTAGAGTAATTTCAACTGAAAATGAAAAAAAGAGTAGTTGGAAATGTGTTTTCCTTCTGGTTTGTTTGACACTTGCAGGTTTTCAGCTGATCTGTTTAAAAGCTGTTCTTGCTCCATTCCGAATGCTCAAGCTTGAGACGAGCGCACAGGTTTACCAGCAAACACGCAAGTGTGAGGGGAAAAAACCTGCTTTTGTATTTGTATTGGCACGTCAGGAATGAAAACGTGTGAGAAGAAATCACCCTTTCGAGAAGAAATCACCCTTTGTGACTTCTGCTGTTAGAAGACAGCTGTTACATTTTGACAAAGGTCTTACTGGGACAAGGAAAAGGTGCGTTTCTTTTCTCTTTAATTTCATCTTGGAAACACAGCAAGAAGGATCAGGAACCCATCCCTGGCAGCTGTGGGGCAAGAAGCCATTGAGGCATCGCTGCCTGCTCGGAAACCGAGGAGCTGCCCAGCTCTCCCTCCCCCAGCCAGTCCATCTCTTTTCAAAATACACTAGATTTTTATTAAGAAGCAAAGCAAATAAATAAATGACACTATTAAGGGAAAAAAAAATGTAAGAGTAAAGTGATATACAGTGTTCTGGGTCAGAAAGAGACGCAATAAATTATCCTGAGCTGACGGGACGTGGTGCCTGGTACCAGGGCAGACCGAGGAAGGCGAGGTGACAGCCTGAGCGCTGACAGCCTGGCCTAAGAGCACTTAGCTGCTAACACACAGACAGGAGAGGGTCGAGTCCTTAGTCCTGACCCCCCCCAAGCCCTCCCACCCCCCAGAAACGCTAACAGCGCCGGGTGGTTACACATGTGCTGGCCGAACACCCCGGGTGCCGTTTCCCACGGCACCTGGATGTGTAATGAGGAAAGAACAGAGCCACTGGCGCCGGGGCCAGAATCGGCACATCTGGACGAGGGGCAGGGGGTCGTCTGAAAGGCAGCTTTCCAACACCTCTGTGCTGCTCTAACAGCCCCAATCCCCTCGGCCAGCCCCAGCGACTCGTTCCCTGCTGCAGCAGCACACGCACTGCCTGGGCGAAGGAAGGCAACGCCAGAAGACGGAGAGACCCACCGGGTTCTGCCCTCCGGGTCTGGGAAGCCGAAACAAAGGCACAAATACACTGAGGCACAGGACAAAAGGAGGCACTTCTGTTCCAGGGGCAGAAGCAGACCCTGGTCATCTTACTGCAAGAGTAAGGATACGGTTTGGGGGTGGGAGCAAAGGGCTTTCCAATTTTCACTTCTTTTTTTTGTTGTTGTTGTTGTCGTGATCTAAGCATCGAACATGGGAGTCAACCAGGAAAAACCATCGGGGAGCTGACTGTCCTCCCAGCACAGGCCTCCCTCCTAGGAGCACACGGCCACACACCACGCGAGTGACCCCGTGTTCGAACGCTCGCAGCCATCAGAGACACCGTCGGATTGTCCCCCCAGCCTCTCTGCTGGAAACTCTTTGTGCGTCCTGGTGCTTCAGGAGCAAACAGGAGACGGCAATGCCTCGCCACAGCTATGGCACCATCAAGGACAACCGGGCTGGTGATGAAGCCCCAGGAATTACGGCACACGGCTACCAAACAGCAGCCAAACAATATTTTGGGGGGGTTCCTCCCAGCCAGCTGCAGTTCGTCCTGTAGCTCCAGCTCTCAGATCAAGAGCGTCATGGCTCGCTTGGACCAAAGCAGCGCAGACGTGCCTGCATCCCCAGCACCTCCCTCGAGCAGCTCAAAACACAACGGTGGCAGCCGAATCTCATCGGCTGGTCAAAGCTCAATGTCCACGGTGTCCTCCTCGTGGTCCTTGATGTCCGTCGAGTCCGCGGTGGCAGGCTGTATCACCCCAAACTGTGACAGCTTTGCCGCCTTCTGCTCCATGCTCTGCTTCCTCCATTTGATCCTCCGGTTCTGGAACCAGACTTTCACCTAGCAGGAAAAACGGCAAGGCCTCCAGGAGCCCCTTCCCCACGGCGGCCGTTGCCACACGTTCCCGAGGCAGATGTCCCCAGAAAGCAGAGTTCCGTAAAGAGGAGGACGTGCCCCTTCTCTGCTTGGGGCAGAGAGCGAGCAGGAGGGGGTGACACTATGGAGGGGAGGACGGTGCTGGGAGAAGGGACCCAGGGAGAGGGGGACGCAGCTGCACAGAGGAGGCTCCGGCTGGGGGAGTGAAGGAGTTGCCTCCCCCAGCTCCTTGGAGCTACTGAACCCATCCCTGGGGCCACAGCTGCCAGATGAGACACCCACCTACCCCCTGCCCCTGTCCCCTGCTCTGCTCACACCCTCCCCGAGCCCCCAGAACCACCCTCGCTTGCTCTCCCTTTTCCCCAGCTGAATTTGGATCCCACCACGGAAGGTCAGGTGTCTCCTCCTTTCTACAAGAAATACACAGCTTGCAGTGGGAGGGGCAGAAGCATACTGGGAAGAGCAGAAAAAACCCTTAAATCCAGTGTCATAAACGGACACTTAAAGCACAAACTGCCTCCAGAGGACCATAACCATGTAGTCCAACCCAGCCTGAACTCTAAAGCAGGCCGGTTTGTGCTCCTCAATGCTTTTTGTTCCACTTCATGGATTAAGAAAAGGGTGTTCCTATTCATAAACCACCTAGACCTATCTTGCATCCCTCCAGGCACGTGGCTTCAACGTCACCTTGCAGCGGGGAGTCCCACGGGTCACTCCGCGTCATGTCCTGCTCCTACCGCACTTCACCACGGACCAAACCCAGACTCGGGACCTACGCCGCCATCCCCGGCTCCCCCCGTTTCTTACCTGAGTCTCTGTGAGATGCAGAGTTGCAGCCAGGTCAACTCGCTCCGTGCCCACCATGTACTGCTGCTTGAGGAACTCTTGCTCCAGCCGCTCCAGCTGCTCTGGTTTGAAGACCGTGCGGACCCTCTTCATCTTGCAGGGCCCGCCGGACCTCCAAGGCACAGCGGGGCCCAGCGAGCTGGCCCCTACACAGTGAGACAACTCCAGACCTGCAAGCAAGAAGCAGCAATTGAAGGGGTCTGCATGTTGGAGGCCATTCCTCCAGCCTTGTCGAGGTGCCAAGCCCAGCTTGCTTTGGTTGCAGCCAAAATCCAAACGCAGCTGCTCTATGCACTCAAGGGGGCTGGGAGAAGGTAACACCAAACACGAAAGCAGGGATGTCCCTACCTACACCATCTTATCTAGGCTCCCTTTCCCACAAAAGGTTGGACCAGATGATCTTCTGTGGTCGCTTCCAACCTATTCTGTGGTTCTATGCCTAGGACAGTCCTGGACGTGCAGCCAGACCCAAAGAAGTCAGCGCTCGGTGAGGTAAGCAGGGTCTGACCTCCCTCTGTACAGCATCTTTGTAACAGGACAATAAAGTCCATCAAGAGCTGCTGAACACAAAAGTCCCATCTCTGTCTCAAGAAGCCCCTCGTCACAAACGTCTAAAGGCTGGGGGAGTTCACCCCATGCTGGCCCCCGCTTTCACCCTTCCCTTGACACCTGCAGTCACCCAGCGTCCAGGAGAAGATGCTGAAGCTGCCAGACTGGCCTGAGGAGGAGAAGAGCCACCAGCCCTCACGCAGGTCCTCGTCTGAGACCTTAGACCTTTGGTTGAACGATCCACAAAGTTCCTCGTGTGCAGAGGCATTAGCAGGACTAACAAGTGGATCTGCTCTCAGTCTCCTCTCTAGCTGTGGCCTGATGATAACCATAATTACCTAATTATCATACAATGCAACACCAGCACCGGCATGGCACCAGCCTAAGACCTCCAGCCTAAGAACACGCTGTCTCTGGTTTCTGAAGCCCCCATCCTGCCAGCACAGACGGGGACTTGCACGCATCTGGATGTACGAAAGCAGCCTGCGACTGCTACCCGCAGCCCCTTCCCCAGGACCCCTACGGCTCAGCCCAGCCCTGTCCTCCTGAGGGACCCTCACCCCAGCCAGAGCCCGCTGCCGGGAGGCCATCTGGGATGCTGGGTCTGGGGTTACACCACGGAAACATTGGCGTAGGCTTTGCATGTCTGGGCGGGAGGCGCGGGAGCGACGGCCGAGCCCCTCGTGCTCGATGCCGAAAGCTGCTGGACTGGGGACTCGGCGCCTGTTCTGAGGCCTGGGAGGACTCGGTGAAGTGGATGGAGAACTGGCTGAATGGCAGAACTCAGAGGGTTGTCATCAGCGGCGCTGAGTCTAGTTGGAGGCTGGTGACAAGTGGTGTCCCTCAGGGGTCAGTACTGGGCCCAGTCTTGTTTAACTTCTTCATCAACGACCTGGATGAAGAGTTAGAATGTACCCTCAGCAAGTTTGCTGACGACACCAAACTGGGAGGTGTGGTAGATACACCAGAAGGCTGTGCTGCCATTCAGCGTGACCTGGATAGGCTGGAAAGCTGGGCAGAGAGGAACCTGAAGAGGTTCAACAAGGGCAAGTGCAGGGTCCTGCACCTGGGGAGGAACAACCTCATGCACCAGTACAGGCTTGGGGTGGACCTGCTGGAGAGCAGCTCTGCGGAGAGGGACCTGGGTGTCCTGGTGGACGACAGGTTAACCATGAGCCAGCAGTGTGCCCTGGCTGCCAAGAAAGCCAATGGGATCCTGGGGTGCATCAAGAAGAGTGTGGCCAGCAGGACAAGGGAGGTTCTCCTTCCCCTCTACACTACCCTGGTGAGGCCTCATCTGGAGTACTGTGTCCAGTTCTGGGCTCCCCAGTTCAAGAAGGATGAAGAGCTACTGGAGAGAGTCCAGCGGAGGGCTACAAGGATGGTGAGGGGACTGGAGCATCTCCACTACGAGGAGAGGTTGAGGGAACTGGGCTTGTTCAGCCTGAAGAAGAGAAGGCTGCGAGGGGACCTTATAAATGCCTACAAATATCTGAAGGGTGGGTGTCAGGAGGATGGGGCCAAGCTCTTTTCAGTGGTGCCCAGCAACAGGACAAGGTTATATCTAATCTAAATCTGCCCTCTTTTCATTTAAAACCATTACCCCTGGCCCTATCAAAGTACAGCCGTGAAGGTATTAGGACCCAGACAAGGCCAGCACTAAGACACGGCTGATGGGACCACAGCTTCTGTCCTGCCAACACCCAAGCTTAACCTGAAGAAAGAGCACCCACTAGCAGAGCCAACGGGACTTTTTGGGGTGGAAGGCGGCGTACGAGGTCTGCACCTGCAAGATCAGGCCATTAATGCTCCTCAGAGTTGCTGCTCCTGGGTGACGGGGTCTGTCCCAGGTCAGCGGTGGGATTCAAAGTCCCCCTCAGCTGGAGTCACGGCTCCCCATCACCAGGGACCTTGGATGGGTGCGACAGATCCCGGCAAGCCCAGTTTCTTTAATTTTTATGGAAATACTGTACATGACGACACCGATTCCCACCCACCGCTTGTCTCGCCTTGAATGACGGATGTTGCCATGTTCCCCAGGGCACCCTGACCCGCCTCGTTTCGCTAATTGGGCGCAAGTTCTGCGCGTGTTTAAGGATTTGCGGGATGGAGACCTGACAGCTTAACAGCTCTAATTGCACTTAAAACTATTTGCATCATTAAAGTCATTTCACCCGTCACATTTCTTCTATTTTAATACTCGCACAATAGCAAGTGTAATTTCAAACAAGAAATACTTTGTGGGAACAGCTTTGCAAATTGTTTAACTATATTTTCATACCTGTGTATTTGATATAACACTTAGATGAACACACAGCTATGCAGATGCTGTCTCGTAAAAGAAAGAATATATTAAACAGTTATGCTAAGTAGTTCAAAAAAATGATCAAGAGTAGCAAATACTTTTGGTATCTGAATATTGGAGTGCTGGGGATCAAATCAAGAGCTCCTCACACGAGTAAACTATGTGCTTGGCTGCAGGTTTTGCCTGGGCAACAACGAGATCAGGCTCTGAATGCTAAAAAGATGCTTAACGTCAAGAAAAATATCCTGAATAGAGGCATTTCATTAAAACAAATGAGTCATTTTGCTTATAAAAAGTTTTGGTAGCCCTCAGTGAAGACACAGAGAGCCTGACGGATTAGCCGTCATCATCCATCACCACTGTCTGAATTTTACCCACAGCTCAACAACAAAAACCTTTCTCCCTAGGTGCTTTTGCACTAAAAATACAGGTTTTGGGGCCGGGCGCTGCGAAACACTCAGTAGTTTCAATTCTACCAGCGAAAAATTGGCAGGGAGAGCAAAATTAGAGAGGGACGAGGGCAGCTTTGGGAGAAGAGGGGGTCCCACACAACAGCAGAGGGGTGCTGCCAGGGTGGAGGAATTAATTTGGGGGACGAAGCTCTGGGAAGTCACAGCAGAAAAGAGAAAGGACGTGAAAAGAGAAATAAATGCCGGCGTGGGCAAAGCAACCCTCGGAAGGTGGGGCCGGGTGGGAGACCTGTCCCTGCGCTGAACCCTCCTGCT